CGATTTAAATGTAACTCTTGTTTGTTTAGTATTTTTATCATGATATATAGTTAGATAGTTGGATTGGCTGGACTATATCTGTCTTTTGATGTCCATTATTAACAGCGTCTCACCAGTTGACGGTGAGCTGCAGTTTTAGATTTGCCCTCTGAATTCAACTTTTAAAATGTATTTTATGTTTGTTAAAATACATCATAATTTCGTTATGCCGTTGACGTCTTTAAACTGTTAAAGGGGTCATATGATGCGATTTCAATTTTTACTTTCTCTTTGGAGTGTTACAAGCTCTTGGTGCATAAAGAAGATCTGTAAAGTTGCAAAGACTAAAGTCTCAAATCCAAAGAGATATTCTTTATAAAAGTTAAGTTAACCACACCTGCCTAAAATGGCTCCTTCTAACACGCCCCCACATATCTACGTCACTATGTGGGAAGATTTGCATAACGCCTCCCAAATGTTCATGCAAAGAAAGAAGGTGTAACTTTTATTCTCGCTGTAGTATTGTTGCCGCTGCCGCCATGTCGTGAAGACGCTGTGTGTTTCGTTGTGAAAGCGAAACTACTTTGTTTGGCCTTCCAAAAGAGGACGATATCCGCTTCGTCATGCCTAGCGCTGATCCGTGCTGGTCGCTGAGGAAATACTTCAACTACGTGCTGTAGATCGCCGGATTGGCTTTCACCGTGGACGAAGCGGAGCCCAGCCCGGGGTCGTCACATGTGGTTGCCGCAAGCCCGCTGGCCTCCGCTCACTCTAGCCCGGCCTCAGCTCACGCTAAGCCGCGGCTTCCGCTCACGCTAGGCCGCCGTGTTTTTCGTTGTGAAAGCGAAACTACTTTGTTTGGTCTTCCAAAAGAGGACACGACTACAAATCAGTGGTTAAGTTGTATTTACAACACTGTTGCAGAACAGTTTAACCCAAATATCCAGATGTGTGCAGCACATTTTATGGAGGACTGTTTCCTGATCCTGGGAGAGTAGACTACAATGCCGGCTGTTCTGACTCACAGTATGGTGAGGGGCGTAACATTTCCATCTCACGCTTGAGGTATTCGGCCAATCACAACGCACTGGATAGCTGACCAATCACAGCACACCTCACTTTTCAGCACACCTCGCTTTTCATAACGTACAGTATGTGGAAAATAATGTGTTTTTTAACTTTAAACCGCATAAACACATTTTATTACACCAAATACACAAAATAATGTTCTTTTTAGCAACATCATATGACCCCTTTAACGTTAAAAACGTTTCTGTGTTATCAGTACTGTATGTGCCAGTCAACTGCCCACGCAACTACTGTCAGGACTGACTGACTGACTGTGTCTTAACGAATAGTGAACTGCCTACCTAGACAGCACTTTTGAATGTCATGGTCAACCCAGAATCGTTGTACAGGTAGGCAGCTCTCAAGGTTTAATGGGATAGTTCACCAAAAAATGAAAATTCTGTCATCATTTACTCACCCTCGTGTTGGTAAACAGTTGGTGGTTGCCATTGACTTCCATAATAGGAAAAAAAATACTATGGATGTCAATGGGAACCACCAACTGTTTGATTACCAGCAATCTTCAAAATATCTTCTTTTGTGTTCAACATAAGAAAGCAACTCATACAGGTTTGGAACGACACAAGGATGAGTAAATGAAGACAGAATTTTCATTTATGGGTGAACTATCCCTTTAAGACAATGTTTGTTTTCTCTCTCTGTACACAGAAACCTGGCCACTGAGTTTATGAACCGTCTGGAGAGAGACAGGGAATCATGCTGCCTCCATCAAGGAGAGATTTTGTATCTCTGACTGTCAGCGAAAGTGGCAGCTACACCAATAGCAAGCAGTGGCGCCGGCAGTCCTGCTGGAGGGTATATATTCAACAATCATTCATTTATTAATATTATGGTTTTATTCAGTAGTTTCAAGGCCCATCTGTAGGGTAATATGATTGTTTGGTTACAAAAATGTGATAATACAATCCTCTTGGCTTTGTCTTCAGAAATGGAAACGGCTGTCCAGATTGCAGCGCAGCCTGATCCTCTTTACACTGATGCTGTTGCTGGTTTGTGGAATCGCTACATCTCCCACTCTCATAAGGCACTGGAGAGGTGAGATGCAAGTTAGATGCAAAAATGGGGTGTGCAGTATATGCAGTGCTTAGGGGTGCCACATGAGGGGAGCGCCATTTTGCTAAAATCATTCTGTGAAAATCTTCTTGAATAAAATGTTATAAATAATCAAAAGCTTATTTGTTGAAAATAATGATAAGAAACCTTTCTATTTAATTTTGAGCATTTTAAATTAGTTCAAAATGTGTTTTATTATCAAGTGAGTACATTTCAGCAGCTCACCCTTCGACATTACTGTCACAGACACAGTCACATGACCAAAATGAATTGAGGAGGGAAAGGGGTGCAGAACAAAAAAAGTCAAAGGGAAATAAATCAGTGCATTAAAATAAAGTGAACAAACTGAGATTGTTTAACCTATCAATTTTTTTCACTGCAAGTCATTGTCAATCAGCAACGTTGTTGCTTGAGAGGGCAGTGATTAACCATATCAGTTAATTTCCATTTAAAAATGATCTTGCATACCTTTCAGCAAATGTGCAGTTGTGCCGCTGGTTAGATGGAAGCAGATCTGAATGTGAGCTTTCAGTCATTTGAAAAGCGTAACAGCACACATAAACTCAGAAGAAACACCATGACAAGTGAGCTATTTTGCTCAATATTCTCACAACGCAAAAAAACATTCAAAACACCTACAGAGTGCACGCATTACGTGAAGTCTAGTGCGCGTGCGCATTTACGGTGCGCTCTTTCACTACATGATTCAGTCTATTAAAATACATTCAGAATGATCACAAATTCAAGACATGGGGGCACTTATAGTTAATCAATTTCACACGGAAGAGTGCCTTTTTTCTCTCCAAAAATTACCATATACAAATGTAATATTGTTTTTTTTTTTACAACAGTTCAATAAACTAGAAGTTTTATTAAGAGACTTATGTTTTAGACACAATATTGCCTGTTTTTGCACTATTTCGCCAACAAAAAATAATTCCAAACAAAGCCACAGCGCTGTTTTGCGTCTTTGAGCAACATGACAGCATTTTGTTCCTGAATGAATCAATCGTTTAAATGATTCGGTTCAATCGCAATGATTCACTTATTAACAGTGACTTGCTGCCACCTACTGGCGGTTTTAATTTCACATTCAAAGTATCTTTTCATTTTTTAAATAATTTCAAATATCAGTATTCAATTTTTTATGTTTAATATAGCAAATTATTTATGAATTTGTAACTGCAGGTTAAATGCATTAAACAGTGTGTAAACACTTCTAAATGCCACTTCAGGTGCAGCTTATGTCTGGATTGCAAAGATGAATTTGTTGATACTGATTTAATTTGCTTGGTAACAGCCCAAATGTCTTATTATTCTTATTCACTGATTAAATGTAAGAATTTGACTCAAGAAAAAATGGCTTTATAAAGGTAATATAGAAGGTAAAAATCTATTTAAACTTAACAGAAAATATTAATTTCTATCTGACCACCACACAGAATATGAAGAATATGAAAAACTTTAGTAGTCAGCTGTCCACGAAAGTCCTTAAGATACCAGCATGATAACACACTCAATCAGTTGAATGAATGACTTACCGCCACTTACTGGTAGTTCAGTTAAGAAGTATTTAGTAGAAGTATGCATTTTTCCCCTCAACATTTCTTATTTGTATATTCATAAATGCATTTAAAGCATTAATCTCATAACAATATTTATTGCAGTTGTAATTATTGTTATTTGCAGTGTAAATAATTTAATCTGACTGGTAGCAGCTCTATAGTGTATATTGAATTTATTGATAAATTGTAATAATTTGGTTAAAAATAGGCCTTTGTAAAGGTAAAGCTGATAGAACACTGATGAAAATATTGCTTCAGAATAAATAGTTTACTCCACCAAAAATCTCAGTGATGCAGTTATTTTGCAGGGATATTTTGTATGGAATATTGTCTGCTGACATTAAAAGTTCACTGTATATCGTAGTAATAAATATCATTTATTACAGCAATGATATTTTGTTTTCTTTTTAATTTAAACGCATTAAATATTACATGTATGTAATAAAATGTGTATTTCCAATACAGGTTTAGGTCTTAATTTTAATATAAGGTGGTATTAAAAAGGTCTTAACTTGTTCATGTCTGTAGAAACCCTGTTATAAACACAACAGCATGTACATTTTGTGCAATGATGAGCTTGACTAGTATATAGGACTTGATAATTCTGTGGTTTGTTTATTATTATAATTTATTTATCATGTATGTAGTTGGCGTGGAGCTGTGATAGAAGAAGAACGTGCATCTGATACTGACACCAAAGACACAGAAATCCAAGACGACCCAGCTTCAGTAGCACTTGGTTTGTTATTTTGTCAGCTACAAAATTCTGTATTCCTTTGATATTGAAATGGAAAAGAGCCAGTTGCTCAATCTATTAATACTTTCTAAATATAAACCCTATTTATGCAGCTGATCTGCCGAATTCATTTGTTTCTTTTTATGGATTGCACTGAAGCAGCTGTTTCCTGTGTTTCTGTTTCTTTCAGCTGAGAGCAGGCTGGAGGCTGTGAGAGAAGCTTTTAGACATGCCTGGAAGGGTTACAAGAACTTTGCTTGGGGTCACGATGAGCTAAAACCAATCTCTAAATCATATGGAGAGTGGTTTGGACTTGGGCTGACCCTAATTGATGCTCTGGACACCATGTGGATCTTGGGTCTCAAAGAAGGTAATTTAGTTTGCTAGAGAAAATACATTACAGACTCCCAACATAGACTATTTTAACTAGTGACACGGACCGTGTCCATAGTGTCATTGTGTCGCCTGCCAATGACGTCATAACCCCTCGATTTTCCGAAGACGCTGTAATATAAGGTGGTATTAAAAAGGTCTTAACTTGTTCATGTCTGTAGAAACCCTGTTATAAACACAACAGCATGTACATTTTGTGCAATGATGAGCTTGACTAGTATATAGGACTTGATAATTCTGTGGTTTGTTTATTATTATAATTTATTTCTCATGTATGTAGTTGGCGTGGAGCTGTGATAGAAGAAGAACGTGCATCTGATACTGACACCAAAGACACAGAAATCCAAGACGACCCAGCTTCAGTAGCACTTGGTTTGTTATTTTGTCAGCTACAAAATTCTGTATTCCTTTGATATTGAAATGGAAAAGAGCCAGTTGCTCAATCTATTAATACTTTCTAAATATAAACCCTATTTATGCAGCTGATCTGCCGAATTCATTTGTTTCTTTTTATGGATTGCACTGAAGCAGCTGTTTCCTGTGTTTCTGTTTCTTTCAGCTGAGAGCAGGCTGGAGGCTGTGAGAGAAGCTTTTAGACATGCCTGGAAGGGTTACAAGAACTTTGCTTGGGGTCACGATGAGCTAAAACCAATCTCTAAATCATATGGAGAGTGGTTTGGACTTGGGCTGACCCTAATTGATGCTCTGGACACCATGTGGATCTTGGGTCTCAAAGAAGGTAATTTAGTTTGCTAGAGAAAATACATTACAGACTCCCAACATAGACTATTTTAACTAGTGACACGGACCGTGTCCATAGTGTCATTGTGTCGCCTGCCAATGACGTCATAACCCCTCGATTTTCCGAAGACGCTTTAATATGTTGTGCGACCGCACAGAGTAGCATTATAACAGAACTTTCAAACGTATCTAGTATGATAAAACACCGCTGCTTTTTTCCCCCACATATGCGCGACCGGAAGGAGCGGAAGCAGTCGACTGTGGCATAATAAAAGCTCCGCTGCTTTCGAGCCGTGTGTCACGCTCGTTCAGCGGCCTCGTTTCGCTTCGACCATTTTCAGCCTCACCCTGCTTCATTCTACTACATTAATCAATCATTAGCTCATCCATGAACATGATTTCTGCCCGAGTCCCGTCGGATTGCTTCGGCTGTGGGGATGAAGACCACAACTCCCATGATTCCACACTCAGTCACTGTGTCATCAAACTATGCCTTTGTCTATTTGTTTATTTGGAATATGCGCCCTCTAGCGGCGAAAATGACATATTGTGCCTTTAAATACCGTCTCATTGTACTCTTCCTAATTTATTTAATTTTAGAAAAAGTATTTTTATATATATATTAGGGCTGTCAATCGATTAAAATATTTAATCTCATGATTGTCATGAGTTACCTCGTGATTAATCGCAATTTAATCGCACATTTTTATCTGTTCTAAATGTACCTTAAATTAAGACTTTTCTAGTGTTTAAAACTCTAATCAGCATGGGCATGGACAAATATGGATGCTTTATGCAAATGTATGTTTATTATTAATGAAACCATAGTCAGCATAGAGCATGAAGACTAGACATGTTTCAAAGGTCATAGATGTTTTTCAAAGAACTTGTTCATGTCTATTAGATGACAGTTTGGATATCATTACATGAAAATACCCATTACCTCTCTTTATTTGCACTGAGCAATTTACTATTTACACAAGCCTGTTTACACTATTCACATGACAGGGCAGCTCACTTCTTCTGAACATGCAAAATGTACATTTATTATTTATTATTACATTTGATTGCCTCTCTGTGCCCACATACTGTATTTTGATGCAGCTGAATTCTCAAAACTGTTTTCATTCATATATTTTACTGTTTCTGTTGTTAGACAACGGAATGAATATGAAATAGAGACTGAAACGTGACCTATTAAGACTACATAACCAGCTCTCCCTTCCAAGATCAAGGATAATCTGCACAAAAATCCTGATTTATAATCGAGCCGTCTGATCAAATCAAATAGGCTACACATAAGATAAAGACAATAGCTGTGCTGTGATTTCGGCTACTTGCATGTAAAATTAGAGAAGCGACATAATGTTTTTTAACTGAAAGCGCTGCTCCTCTCCGCCGCTCGCTGAACAGAGCAGACGCAGAGAAAGAGGTGCGTGTGCACTGGGAAAGAGACCTCGCGCTCGTGCGGCAGTACCGGCGAGTCTCAGAAACGAAATAAGGTTTGGGCAAACCCTAAAGATTTGTCGCTATGCGCTTTTCTGGAAAAAAATTTTAATCGCTAAAGGGGTCTGAAAAGTCACTAAATCGAGCGACAAAGTTGTTGCTAATTTGCAACACTGTAAATCTCCATTTCTCCTAATATGGCCTAGGCCCTAGGCCACGGGTCAAACAGAAAATGCGCGCTGCGTTAATAAAATTAGTGCCGTTAAACTGAATTTGCGTTAACGCGTTCATTTTGACAGCCCTAATATATATAGATAGATAGATAGATCCACCATATTTACACTTTCCTAGTAAATAAACCAACAAATCACTTAATAGTTATATGTCTGTCTTCGTATTAAACTATTTTTAACATAGAAAAATTACATACTTCACATTTAAATTATCTGCCATTTTTTATGTTTACTGAGCCATTTACTGTGTAATGTGGTTTACTTCATTTACATCAATCTTGTCGACAGAGTTTGCAGAGGCCAGGCAGTGGGTGGCCAAAGAGCTCTCCTTCGATAAAAATGTTGATGTTAATCTGTTTGAGAGCACCATTCGTATACTGGGTGGCCTTCTGAGTACTTACCATCTGACCGGAGACTCCTTGTTCCTGGAGAAAGCTGTAAGAAAGAAGCAGAGCACATGCTGATGAAAGAGCAAACGTCTTCAAACCCCCTGAGCTCAAAGTTTCTCTTTTTCATGTTACTATGTTCTTGTGATTTGATGTTATTTTTTATCACATCAATCATTTTTCAGAAAGATATTGGCTCCAGACTGATGCCTGCCTTCAGTACAGCCTCTAAAATCCCCTATTCGGATGTGAATATTGGAAAGGGGACGGCTCATTCTCCGCAATGGACTTCAGACAGTACCGTAGCTGAGGTCACTAGCATTCAGCTTGAGTTCAGAGATCTCAGCCGACTTACTGGAGACCCCAAATACAAGGTCAATACAATGGACAGTCTTTCTCAGTTAAGACCCGAACACTCATTTAAGGAATTCTGTTCTCACAGGAACAGGTGGTTACTTTTCTTCCATTTCTTTCTGTAGCTGGCTGTAATGGAGGTGATGAAGCGGGTTCATAAACTGGATGGAAAGCAAGATGGGTTAGTGCCAATGTTTATCAATACCAACAACGGGCTGTTCACCCATCAGGGCATTTACACGCTGGGTGCCAGGGCTGACAGCTACTATGAGTACCTGCTGAAGCAGTGGATACAAGGAGACAAGACTGAGAAAGAGTAAGTAGAGTCTCTATGTTTGAACTTCATAATTTATTCCTTGTTGTATTGAGGAAATACCAAAATTTTAGCAGTGGTATGATGATAGCATGTAGTGTTAATACTAAATCAAAACAGCCTTGGGTGACTTAAAATTAAACTACAGCTGTCAACAATATATATATATATATATATATATATATAGTTTGATGGTTCAGGTTCAAAGATTTATTTGTGCTCCCATTTTTTTTTTTCAGATTGCTGGATGACTACCTGCAGGCTGTGGAAGGGGTGAAGAAAAACCTGCTAAAGAAGTCTACTCCTTCCGGCCTTACATTTGTAGGAGAGCTGTCCCATGGACAGTTTAGTCCCAAAATGGTATGTTTGTTGTCAAAGAATAACTTGAGGGCCAGCAGAGTCAAATAGCTCATGTAGCCCTTTTATTTCTCCTGTCTTGTTTCTTTCAGGACCACTTGGTTTGTTTCCTCCCTGGTACTCTTGCATTGGGGGCACATTACGGCCTTCCTGCTGATCATATGGAGCTGGCAAAACAGCTGATTGAGACTTGTTACCAGATGTACGCCCAGATGGAGACAGGTCTGAGCCCAGAGATAGCTCATTTCAACATGCATGAGGGCAGCACACAGGATGTAGATGTAAAGGTGAGGAGTTCAGGAAGAGGTTTCAGTTGGCAGCTGTGAAACTGGTGTTTGTTGGATGAGTATACCATGGCCGTCAACAAATAAACAGGTGTTTGTTTAATTAGTATGTAGAATGAAATCGTCTTTGTGATCTCATTTTGTCTTACAGATTGCAGACCGGCACAACCTTCTGCGGCCAGAGACTGTAGAGAGCCTCTTCTACTTGTATAGATTCACCAAGGATAAGAAGTACCAACAGTGGGGCTGGGAGATCCTACAGAACTTCAATAAGTACACAAGGGTATGTGAAAGAGGGATGAAACAATTCCACTGTCACCTTGAGGTGTTTTAGAACATGCAAAACAGTGGAAGGTAAATGTTGTGCGCTGCGTCCAAATTTACATATGTTCCATTAGGGTTGTGCCGATAGACCAGTGTTACTCATTGCGCGGCTCGCCAAGCTTTACTTTGTGGCTCGCATGGCAGTAAATAATACGATGATATGATCATGCAGTCAATACAGATATTTCCTAAAAACATTAAAAACAAGCAGGGCTATAACATAACCAATTTAAAAAACTCACACCATGTCTACAACGGACGCGAGTGGCGCGATCTGACAAAAGACAATAGAACCCAGTGATGTTGTCTACACTGGATGCGGCGCGGCACCATGCGATGCGACACGATCCCCATCAGTAAACTGATGCCTCGTTCTATTTATGACGAACTGTACTGACACTACGTTCAAATGAGTTGCAACTGTCACTTTGTCGCATCAAGTGTAGACAGCCTTTTAGCGCAGCAGGGTGCGGCTCGGCAACTGTTGCGTCCGGTGTAGACACGATCAGACAGTGTCTGCTCTATTACAAATAATTTATATATTTAAAAAAAAAATGCCTAAACCAGCGGCATTACAAGATGGAAATATAGACTAGACAATATATTTACACTTGCTCTGTCCTACTTCCATGACACTGACTCACTGCGGAGTTGCCAGTTTTAATCTTAACAGCTCTTAAGGCCGAATGTGCACTTGGATGATTAGATACATGATGGGCTAGTATAAAAAAATAAAATAACTTAAGGTCTTTCCAGCATTAAGGTAATCCTGCTTTTTTTTTTTAAATAATCTTGTTTCCGTTACAAATTTGACTGGTAAATGATAAAGAATGATAGCCCCTTTTGTATTGCATTGCATTGCATATGACAGATTGATAAAAAGACATGCTATTTATGACTGGATGTAACTTTTGATACTTTGCAGACTTTGCCCTATCAGTGCGGCTCCCATGAAAAAAATAGTGAAGACCACTGCGATAGACGATAGTATCGTGTATCGACGATAGTCAGAGATATCGCCTGTGGCTGATGCCTTTGACGATAGCAAGACGATTATTATTATTATTATCAGACTAGTAATACTATCTAATTAATATTAGGGGTTATTTGTTGCATTATATTTATTTTTCTGCGTTTTAACTAATCACACACGATTATGCTGAGCTTATGAATGCATTGGCCAATCAGAGGCTTTCAGATGAGTCATCAGTGAAACAGCGGAGTTCCGTTGTTGAGCGTGCGCTGACTGAATTCTGACTCACGAATTCTCTCATCATAAACAACAAAGTGCAGAAGTACGTGCGATGTAAGTAGAAGAGATTTAATGCAGTGCAGATTCACTGATTTTAAAGTTGTTGAGACTGAGCTTGTGATGATGTTCTTTGGTAATGTAATATTCTTTGCTAATTTTCTGTAGCTGCTTTTTGTATAAGTGAGGAAATGTAAGCTTTATAATTAATATTCTCTAACACAATCGTGTATTCGTCCTTCGGATGAGACGTTAAACCGAGGTTCTGACTCTCTGGTCATTAAAAATCCCAGGATGTCTTTCGAAAAGAGTAGAGGTGTGACCTTGGCATCCTGGCCAAATTTGCCCATTGGCCTCTGACCATCATGGCCTCCTAACAATCCCCATATCTGCTTATTGGCTTCATCACTCTGTCTCCTCTCCACCAGTAAGCTGGTGTGTGGTGGGCGTTCTGGCACACTATGGCTGCTGTCGCATCATCCAGGTGGATGCTGCACACTGGTGGTGGATGAGGAGATACCCCCTGACAATGTAAAGCGCTTTGAGGGCCTAGAAAAGCACTATATAAATATAACATTTTATTATTATTATTATTATTATGATTAGTGACTTACAATGTTTTTATTAACTTATGTTAAATACAAATTCAGTCATATTAAAAACATTAGGCTACTTTTAGTCTTACGCTGGAGTTGGTTCACTTTCCCGCAATGAAACTAAGTAAATAATTACATAAATTAGCATGATAATATCGTGTATCGGCGATCTCACAGGCTGACGATATGAAAATTGAGCGTATCGCCCAACACTATGTTCCATTCAAAATAGTATGTGAGATTCAGTGCATATCAAGTAATAGTGTCTTGAAAATAGTTTTCCAAAGGTGTCCAGATGATGTACTGATTCTGAAGTTTGTGCTTCTGCATGATTTCTAGATGTTGGCCAGTTTTATTGTTTATACTAATTTTGAGTGATTTCTGAAGGATCGTGGGTCTGACACTGAAGACTGATGTAATGACTGCTGAAAATTCAGCTTTGCATCACAGGAATAAATTACATTCTAAAAGTAAAAAATTTAATTTTAATAATATGCCAAAATATTACAGTTTTTTTTTTTCCTGATCAAATAAATGTAACCCTGGTGAGCATAATAAACGTCTGTCAAAAACATATTAAAAATCTTATAGATTTGTATTTTTATCAGGCATGAAACATTCTTTTCAGTTCTTTTCTAATATTAAAAGGTCATGGAAAAGTATTATTCACATTTTCTAGTTATGCTCAGATTTAAAGTGTTTCTTTCACTAATACTTTTTGTGAGTAAGATCTCTTAAGTTAGTTAAAAGTAAAAAAATCCTTATCCAATATTGTCTCAATATTGTCTTTCATACTGGCCCAAAGCCAAACCTTAGTGCTTCATAAGAACGAGTATATGATATCATTGGCTCAGTTCTGATTCATATATCAGATAGGTTGAAACTTGACTTCTCATATTTCTTGGTTTATACAAACATTGCCTCGCTCCATTTCCAAATGTACTTACACTTTCGCTCTCTGCATTTCTGAACTTCACATTCAGCCTTCAGTTCATATCAACAGCTTACAAGAATGTTACCAAACAACTCTCAGTACTGACTCGTGTGTCCCTCTCCCCACAGGTTCCCACTGGCGGTTATACGTCCATAAACAACGTCTGTGACCCGGCCAGTCCCATCCCTCGAGACAAGATGGAGAGCTTCTTCCTGGGTGAGACGCTCAAATACTTTTACTTGCTGTTTTCCGATGACCCCAACCTTATCAGCTTAGACAAGTACGTTTTCAACACTGAGGCCCATCCTCTGCCCATATGGCCACAAGCAGAGTGAAGGACCCACAAGCACACGTGCATAACCAAACACACCTTTCTCAGGGCCATGAACACATTTGATATCCAAACTGCCATCTTTTTCTACACTAGGAACTCTTTGGAGTCACCAACTGTTAAATAATTACCGCCATGACAAAAACTGTTTGTAGATGTGAAGTTTCTGATTGTACTAGTTAGTTATCTGTATGTTTCTATTAATAGAGTTTCAGATTTTTTTACTCCATTTATGCTTTTATTATGCTGTCGATCAGCTCGCTGCTGAATTAGCCCATTGATTTAGTATGTGCAGTCTCTTAGCCCAAGCACACAGACAAAAATGTTCATACTCTGAAACGTTATGGGGACTGCAAGCACTTTATGGTGTCTTTTGGGGTTTTAGTGTGTGTATATTTTCTTAAAATGAAGGAATCACTGCTGTTTTTGTTATGGGGATTTAGAGAGTCTTTGACCATAATCTGATGGTCTGTTTCGCTTTGTACAAAATGTTTTCTTTGCACCATGAGTTTTATTTGTGTTCCAGAGCTAATATCACCTATATGAATATTTGAAACATTTGGTAGAGTTATCAATCAGCATTGTATAATTATCTTGTGACGAAGCACATGCAAGGGAAAGTTACTTTATTTAAAAAAAAGTTTGTAATTTCAAATATTTATTTTGTTTCGAGCTTAAAACCCCAACCTTTCTGTGAAGAATTTTAAACGTTTTTGTTGAGTTTGGTGTTAGCCATTATTAGGTCCTATTTTTTGTGATTGCAGAATTAAGTATTTTAATAGAGCGTTAAGCAAGTACAATATATATATACAGTGGGTACGGAAAGTATTCAGACCCCCTTAAATTTCACTCTGTTATATTGCAGCCATTTGCTAAAATCATTTAAGTTAATTTTTTTCCCTCATTAATGTACACACAGCACCCCATATTGACAGAAAAACACAGAATTGTTGACATTTTTGCAGATTTATTAAAAAAGAAAAACTGAAATATGTTATGGCAGTTTTCACTCTTTCAGGGGACCAACATCAGATGTGATTGTGTCAGTAGTATTTTTGTGTTTATGATGAACTTTGTGGTATTGGTAGAACATCTTGTAAAATATAAAAAATTGGATTTAGTTTTTTTGCCGTGGTTTTCTTAGAGCTTTAAAGAATCTTCAAAATTCCGAATGTTTTCTAGCAAAGAAAAAAAATGGGATGTTTGATATTCATTTTTCACTACTTATTGCAGATCAGTTTGTGGGCCTGGCCTTAAATAGCATAGAATGTAAAAAAAAAAAAAAAAGTCTGGTAATAGCCAGGGCTACCAACTTTTTTGACCATCAAAAAATATTCCTGCTGTTTACACAGATCACAGGTGTATTTTGTGAATTGTATTTGAAAAGCTTGGTTGAACATATCTCACTGTGCAGAATCTTAAATTAATATTATCCAGGTTTTTTTCTATAGTATGTACATTAAAACCATTGCAGATGTTCATCAAGGGCTGAGCATTAACCGGTTTCTCGTTGTCGTGCTGTGGTGAGGTGTCCTGTTCCGCGTGTGCCTTTACATACAGAGCAATGATGACAAATCTTGTCTATTTTCAATCCAGAGAATCAAGTTTTTATGAGAAATCTATTTTAAACATCTCATTCCTGTTGTGAAGCTATCTACAAATTGTTTTTGTTTTATTGTGAATAAATACCTTTGTGATTATTTATAATACAGCGTGGAAGTGTTAAATTAACTTGCTATCTGTACACAATTTCTGGGTGTATTTTTTTTTCTCTAATTGTGTGAGAAACTGAGGACAGCTACACTCAAATGAGCTTGTGTATCTCAGACTTAAAATGAAGGGCTTTTCATGCCTCACTCTCATTTGTTGTGCAAATGTCTTAAATTATCAGCTGCCTCGTGCATATTGACAAATCAACATAATTTTGAATCATTCATTCACAACACCAAAGATGTGCCATGAATTTCAAAGAATGTTCTAAATGGGAGTGATAAGACAAGTAATATGTGGAACAGCTGTACATATTCCTTTTAATGACTAATACAAGTACCCCAATTCAATTTGGCAATTTGTAAGTGATGATTTAGACATAAGAGTGATTTTGTACAATGTTTTTTTATTTGTTATTATTATTGACAAATTCATATTTCTGGAACATATATTTTTAATGTCCATTTCTGTGGAAAATAAATGGATTTATTCATTATTTTACATGTTTACAATGTTGAAATAAATTGTACATAAAAACAAACTCATGATGACTTCTTCCTTGCTGCTTTCACCCACTGAGCAATGATTTCAGACTCCTCCTTCCGAGCCACAATCACAGACTCGGGATCAGCAGGATTAGACTCCCTGAAAAACACAAAACACCATTTATAAAAACAGGAAGCATGATGATCAGCAGAGACAAAGCCAAATACAACATTTCACTCTATATCTCTCACAGTTGCACACACAAATAATGAAAATTCCCACCTTAAATCCAGATGATGAGCTCCCTCTGGTATGTTGATTGCAATCAGTGATGGACTGAGTGACTTCCTGATCTACAGGTGAAAATAATTCCATTTCACAGAGAAGTACAACAAAGAACTTTATTCGTTAACCTCAACAGCAACCAATAACAAGGGAATTACTGAAATTAAGTATTCAGGTGATTATTTTTAGTGAGGAAAAATACCAAGTGCAGCTTTAAAAAAAAAAGAGGTTAAGTGAAACTCTTACCCCTCCGTTAGCCCAAGGATCACGATCACCATTGGAAAATATGATATTGCTTGCAGTGTCAAGATCTAGAAAAGAAAGTTCAAATGGTTGCAACATTGAGCTCTCATTTCATTACAAACATCCAATGAATATTAAGGACCAAAGGCAAGTGGAACCTGATGTAAAATCATGAGGTAAAAAAAAATTTATTTTATTTTTTTAAAGCACAGACCCAGGCACTGTTTGGTAGTTACAGCTTACCGTCGCCCCAGAACTGGGTCTTCAGCCACCCTGTACGCGGCACCACCCCCATCTCTTTGAGCAGTACTGTTCCCTCTGCTGCTCGGTGAATGTCATGGGTGGGAACATGTCTGTCACATTGTTACTCTCGTAGCACATCTCGATCTCAGTGCAGGCCTAAAAAAGTCATTCAATTTTTATTCACAATGACAAGGGAAAGGAAAGTCCAAGCTATTTTACCTTTTTATTCCACAGTGTAAAACACAACGGTAATACCCCCTCGTCATTTTTTGAAGCTTTTACATGTTAGCGACTGCTAACAAGTGGCTAAATGGGACAGAGGTTTCTGGGAACATCTACTAACACACTGTTGATACATTTTTAAATAAAGACTGAAAGATTTGTTAGAGCTTAATGGTGGTGACACTGAAGTCATGTAACAGTATTGTAGTTAATTTATAGTCTGCATTTAAACTTTTTACATCTGGTGATTTAGGCTTTAAAATTAATAAATGTTGTGTTCGTTTGTGAAGATTATCACGATGAACAGAACATGTAAAAATTGCAAACTTCCGTTGGTCACAGAGCTTCTTTTCTACAATAATCCAAAAGCCCATGGAAAAATCCTATTGGACTTTTGTCAAGGGAACAAGGTTGATGCGAACTTCTGGGTTGTCCTACAAAATTATGTCATCCCTGTAGCACTCTGGAGTCTCAAAATAAATCTGTTTTACTGAAGACTTGTGTTAAAATCTAATATTCAGGGTTTAGTGAGAACTAATCTAGGTACCTGGTAATCCCATGCATAGCTGTCAAAGCCAAGGCCACAGCCGGTGGGATCGGCACACTCCACATAGAGACTGTAGAGGTCATAACATGTGAGCTGTCCAGTGGAATTATACATGCCTGTGGGCCGGCACAGAATGAATACTAAAGACTTTCCATGGCAGGACCAGATGGTTATAAAACGAAACAGAAAATGAAATTCGTGCAAAGCTGCTGTCATTTACCAACAGTATCTCTGAGTGCCGACATAAGATCAGTGCCATTCAGCATGGTTTCACACGCCACCTGTAAAAGTAAAAAGTACTGCAATTTATCTTTTAGACACACAATCACACTGGTTCAGTAACTGCAGGAACTGCTCTGCTAAGGAATTTCTAATGGAACCAGATGGGCTGGAATGGTTTTATTTGCTATATGCGTCAGGAAAATATTTGATTAACACTATTAGGTTTTGCATTATGCATTGAAGCATTCCAGTGGCAAGCTTTTCTTTTTCATGCTATCCCCTTTCCATTTGGTGATGGAGTTGGCTGGAAATTCATGCAAGTGACAAGTCCAAGGCCTTGACAGGGAATGCTGCCCATGAAATGAGTGCTGTAGGGATAATCCAACATGGCCATCATGGTAAAGGCATTACGTAAGAGTCCGTTCAGCTGATGAATGTCCTTTGGGGTGGAGGGAGTTTTACACAGGGAGAAGGCAGATTGGATGCGTCTGTAGTCTATGAAGTATAAATGGGAAACCATGGAGAATTAAATGCATTTTAAGAACAAAAGCAAGCACAGACTGAACACGGTTAAACATTCTGAGTGAATGGCTATGGATACCTTTCTGTTGTGCCAAAGTGTTTAGCGTCTGGAAAGCTCCTTGCACTGCATCTTTGCAGGCAGGGTTAAACTTCTCAAAATCCTGAATAAGCAAACAGAACACATCAATATTACTCTAATACAAAATCATAAATACTTTTATTTACAAAAAGTATTAAATTTTAAAATCATGTTTTCAAGCAAAAGTGACTGAAAGGAATTAAATATGAACCTACAGTGGTAACGTCCCGGAAAAACTGTCTAGAGTCTCCAAGACCTGCAGTGGACAGGATGGGAGCACTAGCGGCTAACGCCCCAGCCACAATATTCGGGTACCTGATTCTCATGTAAACGCTTAACATTCCTCCGTAGCTGAAAAATAAAACACATAATAAACATATATTACTGGTTAAAAGTTTGGAATAATTAAGTTTTTTGGTTTAATGTTGTTCTTTTTCTCATCAAGGCTGCATTTATTTGATCAAATATACAGTAAAAATAGTAATTTTGTGAAACATTATTACAATTTAAAATAACTGTTTTCTTTTTGAATATTGTAATTGCAAAGCTGAATTTTCAGCATTCATTAATCCAGTCTTCAGTGTCACATGATCCTTCAGAAATCATTCAATATGCTGATTTGCAGCTCAAGAAACATTTCATATTATTATCAATGTTGAAAAAAGTTTTTGCTGCTTAATATTGTTATGGAAATTGTGATTCTGTGAAAAACTGTTAAAAATTTTGGGGTAAGAAAGAAAGAAAAGGCTGCATTACATTGATCAAAAGTGATAAATGTTTATAATGTTACAAAAGATGTCTATTTCATATAAATGCTGTTTGTTTTGTTTTTTACTTTCTATTAATCAAAGAATGTATCACGGTTTCCACAAAACTTTTAAACAGCAAAAAAAAAAATTCAACATTGAAAATAAAAAACATTAATCATATCCGAATGATTTCTGAAGGATCACATGACACTGAAGACTGGCATAATGGCTGCTGAAAATTCAGTTTTGCTATCACAGGAATCAAAAAAATATATTTTTAAATATATTAAAACAAATATGTGAGCATAAGAGACTTTCAAAAACATTATTTTAAAAATACAAACTTTTGACCAGTAGTGTGTACAATATTATTGTTATGATTATTATATAAAATAAGTATTAGTTATTATCATGTTTAATTAATTTAATAATAATGAAATGTTATGTAGCCAGGTGTCATATAGATAGTTATGTATATATAGAC